GATTCAATTTTATCAATTTAAAATTAACACGAAATTAACCTTTAGGTTCATTTATTTAATATTTAATTTTATCAAATTAACACTAAATTGATATTTAATTTAATCAAATAAAATTTTAATTATATTCAATAGAATATTAATTTTTATTAATTTAACATTTAATCTTATCAAATTAATATCATTTTTTTAATTTAACACCAAATTAATATTCAATTTCATAAAAGTAACATTCAAATTTAATCAATTAATATTAATTTTTATCAAATTAATATTTAATTTTATCAAAATAATACCAAATTAATATTTAAATTTGGAATTGGGGTGGTGACGGGGGGTGGCGAATTAGGTGAGTTAGGGGGAGTTCTTTTTGTATATATATAAAGTTTGGGGGTATATGATACCTGGGCTTTAGGAGGGGGAGATGTAAGAAAAATTACCACATTGACCTTTAACCTAAGTATTACTTTTGGTTATGTACTAAAATTCCTCTCTGGAGGAGGAATGATGAATTGTTAATATAGACAATTTGGAAGATATAATCGGAAGACATGAATGGTGAGAGCATCTTTAAGGAAGATGTCAAATGTTATATATCAAATTTAAATTTGAAGGCATATGTGACAATTTGACATATAACATTTGACAGATTCACCTTACACTCTAATCGATATGTCAAATGTTATATACTAAATTTATGTGATACATGAGTAAGAAGTTGAGATATGCCGGGATTTGATATGATAGATGAAATATTTGATAGTGTGTCAAATTTGGCCAACACAGTCAATATTTGACATAGCTGTTGGAGGAGGAGGGGATGCCAAAAAAAGCCGTTGGAGTTGTCTTAATGAGATTTGATGGCTCAATTTGAGTTGCTTATAGGCTCCATTTGTATACTTGATGGAATTTGACATATCTTAACTAAGGACCAAAATTTTGTTTCAGTGTATTATTTCGGTCACTTAAAAAATAAAAAATGTTTTGACATATTTCGGAAACGTTTCAATCAGTTTCAAAAATAGAATTAAAAATAATAAAAATTTAAGAATTATTTTTTTCAAAACATTGATCAAAATATATCAAAAAATCTTGAAATATTTTTAAAATAATTGTTCAAATGCATTGAAATATAACAAAATAATTCAAAACATTATGGAATACTCCGAAGTATTAGAATTTCAATTTCATCATTAATTCGTTTCGGTCTCTTTATAAACGAAAACGTTTAAGATATTTTGACCATTTCAAAACGATATTTTAATCCTTTATCTCAACTAAACCCTTCACATGGACTCAACGTGCACTTATATGGTCTAGAGACGCTTACTTATTTTATAGTTTACGGCTATTGATGAAATGAGCAGTTTTGTCACTTTACTACTTGACCCAATACTCATAAAGGGTGTCAGTGAAATTTTAAAATTAGAAAGGGTGTTTTTGAAATTAAGTTTATTTAGATGAAGTTTACCCAAAACTTAAATATACGATTAATCTCGTGGAGGATCACTAGTGTTATTAACATCCACACGCTTCAGATCACATGCCACGTGTCGCCCCGCCTTATTTTGCTTAATTTACCCGCTGCATTAAAATAAGAATTTTGTGGTCCTACGTAACAGGCGTACATGTACTTTACATTCCTACCGTTCGATGAATCATGTCATTATGCCCTTCACCTAGATTTTCGAATCAGATCTTGAACGACCAATTAAAAAACTAACGGAAATAAAAATTGAACAAAATTAAAGGCGGAAAAAAAATTGGTATTATATTGATATTTATAATTTTTATGGGTATTTTTTACCATGATTGTCGGTGTTTTTACTACTATTATGGTACCAAAAAAAAGTGATAAAAATAGTAATTTAATATATAGTGATAAAAAATATTTACAAAATTGGAAAAATACTTATAAAAGTAATAAATTTTAAAAGTACGGAATAAATTTTTCTATTTTGTACGGTAACCAAGTCCTTAAGTTATAACTATAAAATATATGATTAATCCCAAATTATTACAATTAATTATAAAAATTAGGACTCTAAAGTTAAATTAAAACTTGTCAAGAAGAAATTATAACCCCCCCCCCCCGCGGTAAAGGAAGACTTTTAAGGATAATTAATTATTATCATAAGAGTAATGTTATTGATACTTAAAAATTAACTTAATTTAATGATGTGACAATGATATAATTTAATACATTATTATGATTGTAATTATTTAATTTTTTTTATTGAGACTCTATCATTTAATACATCATTATATTAACAAATTAGATTTATTTTTTAGTCTTAATTAGTTGTAATTTCTATTTTGGAAATAGTAAGTTTATTTTTATAATTTATAATATTTAGTATGATATTAAAATTATTTTTGGGTACCTTAGTGCTACCCAAAAATTAAAATAAAAAATAATACATCCATTAAACTTTTATCAATTTTTTTTTAATTTTAAATTAATGTGAATTATAGAATTAATAGATCCGATAAACTTTTACTAACCATTTACGGATTCTCAATCTGTGACACTATTTGCGATGTATTATCTATCGTAAGAGGCTTGGTAGACCAGGCATTTGTCAATGAAAATATCTTGGTCTACGAGGAAAAGGACGTATGGTAAGAAATTTCAAGTTGGACGTGAACTGAGGAGAGAGAAAGTGTAGAAAAATTGGGGGTGTAAAGAACACGTTGTTTTGCAGTTCCTAGTGAAATGATTCGAGAAATTTCTCGTAACAGCAAGCCAAGAAAAGGGGGACCTGCCCTGGGTTTTGCATAAAACTCTCTCTCTCCCTTTCTCTGTAGAGTGCTCTGTTGTCTCATTCATTTCTTCTTGTATACCAAAACATCACGCTTGGAAGGAGCTATATTTTGTCGCTGAAGAGGTTTAAAAGGCATGGATGTTATGGTATTGGGTCTCTCTCTCTCTCTCCCCCCCACACACACGCTCAATTGGGTTGGGGACCATTTTTTTTGATTGGATTCATTTGTTTAATTAATTTTGTTTGACCATACGTTTTGGGTCCCAAGATGAGATTTTTTTATACCGTAATCGTTCCCATTTTTGGGTAAAGCTTTGAGAATTTGCTTCTTGGATTATTTATTGGGTAGGGTTCCTATGATGATGATGATGATGATGATGGATTGTATGTGATTTTTATGGTTTTGTTCTTAGTTTGAAAAATTGAGCTCTCTTGCATTGCTGTGTCTCTCTCTCTCTCTCAGAGAATTGTTTAAACTATTTCCTGTTGGGGTTCAAATTCTTTATTTCATTGTGAAACGTTTGAATTTTTTCGATTTACAAGATTCAACAAAACTTCAACGGTTTTGGAAGTCTTAAAGCATAAAGGGAGTAGAGTCTAGATTAGTAGGGAATTGAATCAATTGATACTTGGGTTAGGCACATGTCCCATAGGATTTACTTGCTTTTCCGGATCAGTAGCAGTGTGTATGTTCAGGCTTTAGTTTTAATTTTTTAACTTTTATTTCAGTGTCAACTGAATTTCACGGGATATATACTTTTATGTGTACATGTTACATATTTTATGCATTTTGATCGTTTCCATATTTTTATGTTTGCGTTATGTGTAATCTTGGGTAGATTGTATTGTTTTATAATCTGTAATTTAAGAGATGTGCAATCTTGTATAGATGGTTTATTTGGCAACAGCTGTAATAGTTGTCTGTCTTGTCTTATAAATATCAACTTATGTAATGTGTAATCTCGATTAGATTGTCCTACATCCTATAATTATTATTCTAATTTGTGAAATATTCAATTTTGGGAGGGTAATTTGGATGGATTTGGGCCTGCTATAGCTCAGACCAGTGTATGCCAGCGTGATTATTTTTCACTGCACTTGTGATCTTGTTATCGAAAGTTTTCATATTATTTAAGGGGTTATGAATTTTTCGGGAGGGTTATTAACATTATGTATGGTATGCCTTTCAGATTCCACCAGTATTGAATGGTGATTGTGGCATTCAAGGGCGAGTGGATGAATCAGATTGTGTCATTCGGATGAATGTGATAATTTTATCATCTTAAGGTATAATTTACATGTATTTTCTTATGTTTGCATATTACTTGTTTATTCATTTGGTTTAATCACAAGACATCTAATGCACCGCTATTTGATGGAAACTGAGAATGCCAGTATATAATTAAATTCTTTTGCGTTCTATCTCTCTCTAATTGGCTGGATTGGAGTATGTTTCTTTGGAAAGGGTCCATAATTTTCCAGTCAGAAATTGCCTATTCTGGTTCATTTTGAAATGTTGTCTATTTATAAGTGGCAATCGGAGATCACCCCCTCTTTAAGTTTGATATATTTTCAAAGCAATAGAATACTATGGCGTGTGATTTATGTGCACTCCCTTAGTTATTTATATGTATTATGCATGCATGCACATATGTGCATACGTTTAGGAAACAGTTTTTTTTTGGGGGGTGGGGGGGATGGATTTGGTGGTGGTGGGGGAGATATTAAGTTGCTAGAATATGATGTGGGTTGAAAATTTTATAGTTTCTTTGTTTCCTAAAAAGCCTCACTGAGATAGCTGTCTTTCAAATTTTACCGGGTGATATTATGACATGTATCCCACTTGATGTACTGTGTACATTCACTCCCCTGAAGTTTTCAAGTGATTAATGCAGCTCTGTGAAGCTTATTAACTTGTCCTCATGCATAACTGCTCATTCATTAGATTTGTCAGTGCTCAGTCTGAAATGATTTATCCAAATCAACCATGCTCGGAATTTTCTGTAACAACACTGCCATAATTTCTTGAACTTGCTGAATCTGGTACCAACGCTTTCTCTATTATTGTGTTCTCATCATTTATTGTCAACTCTTTATCTGTTATTTTGTAAATTATGCTGATTCTGTTGATATGCTATTTTCTTCTTTTGGTGACGAATTCTCTGCCTTTTGGATGTCAGGAATTATCTGGGATTGGAATTTACACAGAGGGAAATTTTACAGAAACAATTTGCAGCGCGCAATGTTTGCGACTCCATATTTTCTTCTTGTTTGCATTGTAACCTTGGAATACCATTAATGGGATTGAAATCCGACATGTTAACAAATGAGGCTTGCCATAGAGAGGCTGCTCGTCAATGCTCCTATAATGACACTGATTCATTTTCTTCTATTAAGGGCAGATCAGGCAATAATCAACATCATATGAGTAATGATACAAACAAGTTTCTCAGTGATTGTTCAAGCCATTATTCTTTCTCTGGAAAAATGGAAAGTAAAGCTAGTTTGAGGGTCTCTGATAGTGTGGATGGCATGTCAATGCTTTCAAAGGTAGCTGCAGTTCAAACTGCTGAAGAAGATTGTGCCTTTTCTCAGCCAGAAGTTCTTTCAGATGATAGAATCTTCTCCAATCAGCTAGAGAAGCGGAAGAATTCAGAATGCAACGTTGGTGATATTTCATGTGTGACCAGAGCTAAACGGCCAAGAGTGATGGTTAGTAATAATTACCGCGATGATGACAGAAAATATGCATTGTAATGCAGTTTCCATTAATATTTTTCTCCTAAAAGGAGGTGTGGAGGCAGATGGTGTTCAATCAGCACCATGTTGTTTGGCTGGTGATCATTATGAAGTAAAAGTGGGGTACAATAGCTCTATTGGGTTAGCCAACTTCACCAAAGAATCTTTACAGAATCTGCACTATTTTCTGACAAATCAGACCCATCTGAGATTTATTCCTTAAAAAATGCTTATGCTAGTTCTACTCCAGTAAGGTTGCTGGAGTTGGATTAACTTTATAAGTGAAAATTTACTTTCTCTTACTTGACCGAATAGAAATATAATTCCTACTCTTTTTTACAGGGAGATATCTCTCAATGCTCTGTGGACCAAATGGAATCAACTTCCATGAGATTGGAAACTGTTACCACTGAGGATCATAATCATGATGCACTTGACAGTGCTGAATCTGTAAAACTCAAATTTGAAGAGGATCTAACAAGCAAAGATGTGAAATGCTCAGAAGTAAATGAAGATGGATCAGATCCTCCTGTGCAATTTCACCCTTACTACTGTAATGGTGAATCAGATCTTGTGGATGTACGTGCTCTTT